CATTGTATCCTACTCTTGGTATACCCTAATTTCTACAACTGTAGCCCTGTTGGGTATCTCCATAGTTTTCCTTTTGGTGCTACAAACTATGATGCTCACTGAGCAGCTGTTGGAGTGAATCCCTTGTGCCAATTACTAGCACTCTGTATTGAATCAAAGAGATAATGGGTAGAGGTGTTTTTAGAGCTAATACAAGATCTTCCTCTTCAGTTCTTATTACAACTTCAATATCCCATACCTTTACCAGCCATGTTCCAGCTTTTTCATCTCTGATAGATCAAAGCAGTCTCAGATTACAGACTTCTGAAACTAAATATCAAAAGCCTTAAGGGCATGTTCTTAGATCAGAAAATTTCCTTCTAGTATGTGTCTTAGGAAAGAACATAGGATAGGGGGTAAGGTGTTCACTGCAGCCAGTTTAGTGGGCTTCCACCTAAATGCACTTAACACTCTTCTTTTCGGGGCAGGCCAGGGTCACAGGTACCTGGCCAATTGCATAGATCAGAGGCCCTGGGGGTGCCTCCAGCAATAATGTAGTAGCACTTGTTTGCCTGGATGTATTTCCTCTAAGAGAAATATATGGGGCCTACTCTGGCTAATGCAGATGTCCAGGCTCTGCCCTAGAGAGGTGACCAGCCTGGGGAAAAGTTGATGATAATGCAGTTTTAGGATTTCATTTTTTTAAGATGGGGAGAAGACATGCCGTGCAATTCCCAAGGATTTCCCCCCATTTCCTGAAGCAGAATTGCAGGGCAGGTCCTAAAGGTAGAACCCCTTCACAAATGGCTGGAAGTTGGGAGTTTTGGCAGTGGGGCCAAAAGGGTAGGATGGCTTTCTCCTTGGACTGTGTTCCCACAACCAGGAGCTGCTGATACCTGACCCAGGGAGTATCCAGGAGGGATTCAGAATACTGAAAACTGCAACCTCTGAGGAGATTTGAAGGAGCCTGGCAAAAACTACAAAAGAGACTAATCTCCCTGGCACTACTGTATGCAGATACTCCTGCTTGTAACTGGAAAGGAGGATGGTTCTCCAAATGGTTTGCCAAATGCTAGACTTATAGATGGGCCAGTGGGACAGTTCACCCAGCCTGAGGTTTTTTGGTTTGTTTTAAATTTGTTCTAATTAGTGATATATGACAGAATGAATTTTGACACATTGTACACAAATAAAGCACAACTTCTCATCCTCTGGCTGTACATGGTGCCGAGTCACACCGGTAATGTGGTCATACATGCATAGAGGGTAATAATGTCTATCTCATTCCAGCGCCCTTCCCACCCCCATACTCCTTCCCCTCCCCCTTCCCAATCCAAAGTTCCTCCATTCTTCCCTACCCAACCCCTATTATGGGTCAGCATCCACTTATTAGAGAAGACATTCCACCTTTGGTTTTTTGGTTTTGGTTTATCTTGCTTAGCATGATATTCTCCAGCTCCATCCAATTACCTGCAAATGCCATAATTTCTTCTTTAACCACCTGAGGTTTTTAACAAAGTACAGCAGTGGGAAATTTTTTTTTACTTGTCTTTGCCCCATCCCCTTTTATTTTTCTAGTCTAACAAACGAGGAACCTAGAGAAAAACCATAACCTTGGAACGTCAGTCATCTCAAATCCCCTCATAAGCTTCCTGAGTTAAGATGTGCCTGCCAAATTTCTCCACCATAGTTTTTCATTACCTTTACAACTTCAGTGCAGGTTGGGCTTCTGATAGCATTGTGCAGGTGTAGATGAGCACTGACCAGCATCCAGTCTTTTTTTTTTAATTTTTTTTTTAATGTTTATTTTTTAGTTTTCGGCGGACACAACATCTTTGTTTGTATGTGGTGCTGAGGATGGAACCCGGGCCGCGTGCATGCCAGGCGAGCGCGCTACCGGCTTGAGCCACATCCCCAGCCCAGCATCCAGTCTTAAGCTTGTTGAATGGCCTATGCAGCAAGCACTCTGAGCTCAAGAGTGATAACAGCTTTCACTGTAGGTGACTGCTAGTATCAGGAAACAGGAGGACCACCTGCAGCAGCAAATCTGATAGCAAGAAACTGTACTCCTCTGGGAGAAAGGAGTGGTGGGGTTGGCCAAGGCTACTGGGGAAAGTCTGTGGGATCTTACCATCTCCCATACCCTTCCTGAGTGGAACAGAGAGCAGACCAGGAACACTGGGATGCTGGGAAGGCATGGAGGGACAGTTAAGCATCAAGAGGGCAAACAGACTGAACAAGAGGGGTCATGAAGTGAAGGTGGACTTCTGACCAAAAAGGACAGACACCCAACCCAGCTGATATCACAAGTAAATGTTCACAGGCCACAAGGCAGTTTTTGGCTAGTCCCTCAGATCCTCAGCCAGATAGGCAAAAAGCTCTCTCTCAATAGAAAGCCAACCAACCAGGCAGACTTTTGGGTGAACAGGCAAAATCCCAGGGAAAACAGACTCCCAGCTGAACAGGTAGCCAGACAAATGGGGAGATTCCTGGGTGTGTGGGAGAAAAAAAAAATCAACCGGACATCCAGATAGACCTGTGGCCAGAAAGAAATATGGACCATGTCTCCCCAGTTTATTGAAAGGTGGACCTCAATCAAGCAGAAAACAGAACCCCTCCCCCTAAATGGACAAAAATGTTATCTCAGTGGAAAGCTGACCCACCCAGTAGGCCTTCAGCTGGACAGAAAGACTTACTCTCCACCAGTAAGACAGACATTGGCCTGAAAATGATACCCTCAGCAGGATCCAGTTTTCTAGACAGACAGATCCTGCCAGGGCTTCCCAGTCAGGCAAACAGACTCAGCCCTATTTGAACAGAAAATCCCTAACTAGCCAGCAATCACTAGGTCAGTCTTCCTGTCCCTTGCTTACCACCATAGATATGCCAGTGACCCCTCACTGTTGCTACTCCTTCCAGGCACCACCCAGTCTTCAGTGACCACTGATCTGTATCACAATAGTCCACTGAGACCTTTCATGATACCTCAGTTACTCGCCCATAAAATAACTCACACCTCCATGATTCCCCCAGAAAATCTTTTTCTACAAGTTCACAATATTGTGTCCCACCCCACTGAGACCAGCAACCAATGCCCATCCACGAAACGAATGATTCCACTGGCATTCACTAATATTGAGCAGGAGGGGCTGGGGTTGTGGCTAGACGGTAGAGCATTCACCTAGCATATGTGAGGTACTGGGTTTGATTCTCAGCAGCACATAAAAATAAATAAATAGAGGCATTGTGTCCACCTACAACTAAAAAAAATTTTTTTTAACAAATACTGAGCAGGAACTGTTTATCACTTGTCTAACTTCTGAATCCTCAGTAATTAAAAATAATATTCCAAATCCCAATAGTCCCTCAGTTACTTTCATTGCTAGGCACTTTCTTGCCCCAAACAAACCACTGACCTTCCAGTGATTATAATTAACACCCTATGGCCTCATTAGAACACTCAAAAAGATGGAATTGCTAAATATTAAACACTAACTGGAGGGGACTCCCAGTGACCCCACAATAAGCAGAATAACTCCAGTTGTTTGATGACTCACTTTGATCTCTCACTTAAGCCACAGCCAGCAAACTAGTCTGCAGACAACAACAAAAAAAATAATAATTAAATTTAAATATCTGACTGCTTTCATAGCAGAGGGAAGCAGCTGGGACAAGAGAACAGAGAAAGCAAAGCCACTTCCTATCTGGCCTTTTGAAAGTTTGCTAATCCCTAAGGAAAGGAGGGAAAGGTAAGGTACTGGGGAATGAGAATGATCAAATTATGTGCATATAGGAATATGGCACAATGAATCCCACTATTATGTATAATTATACTATACCAATTAAAATATTTGTTCATCCCTGACAAACATGATTTGTAATGAATTGAATTGACAACCTGTTAATAATGACCTTGTTGACCTTTCAGTGTCTTGTCCTGTCCCAGTGACACTTTGACACCTCAAACTGACCTCCACTGATGATGCCCCCTCCAATGACTCCCCTTGAAATATTTCCATAACCCCAGCGACAGATCTACCCAAGCCATCTACCCAAGCCTGTTCTTGTCAGGCTCCTTGGCACCCAACCACTCTCTCCTTCCTCCCCTCCAAGACCTAGGAAACAGGGACAGCAGCTATTTCTCCATCCTCCTGACCTTCCAGTGATTATACATCCTGTACATTTTCTGATGTGGCGACAGAAAAAGCAGCTCTTTTAAAGGGGTTGAGAACTCCTATCCTCTAGAATGCATTTCCAGTGCCTCAATTCTGTTTCCCTGGCAGGTTTGTGAGGATAGAGATTCTCAAGTTAAAACTGGATCCTTGTGTCCTCCAGCCCTTCCCAGCCGGTCTCGGAATAGGAAAAACCTGAGGAAATACAGATATAGAAACTTCCATCTCCTCTCGCTTTTTCCAAAGTACGATAATCATTCCTCCTCGCGGTCTCCCCACCCGGACCTTCTTTGGACCCAAATGGAGCACACTGAGCGGGACATCCCATGCTAAAGTTCCCCGGGGTGGGGAGAAGTAGCGTGATCTCGGCCACCATCTCTACTGATGGCTGCTGCACTACCCTGTTTTGGTCCTCAATGCAGCCTGACTCCCAGGAGACCTGGTCGGAGACCTGGTTTCATCCGCTCAGAACCTGACTAGTCACAGAGGAGGGGCGAAGATCCGGAATTCAAGGGGGAGAGGAAGTGACAGTAGGATAGTGCCGACTAAACCAGCGGAAGCAGCAATCAAAAAAGAAAAAAAAAAAAAAAACGGAGAGAAGCGCTAGAGCTGTACTCACCAATCCAACGCTCAAGGACCTAAGGCTCCAGCAGCCAAAGCAGCTCAGGCGCCTGTGGGCGGGACAGGGCTAGTTTCGAGTGCCATTGGCTAATGGGTGCGCCTTGCCAGCTGTCGCCCGTCTTCCAATGGTTGGTTACAACGAAGGCGGAGCCTCGGCAGCCTTCCTCCGCCTCCCTCAGTGTCTACACTAGCTGGTAGCGCTGAGCGCAACTACTGGACGGGACCTTGCTGGCAGACGGTGCCATGAGCCACAATTTGGACGCGGCGCGGAGCTTTCTGGAGCAGCTGGAGGAACAGGGCGGCCTGAAGGGGGAGGTTCTGGCCGCGGAGTTCAGTGTGAGTGGGTGAATGTGTACAACTGGGAGGCGCGTTTCGGCTCCTTACCCTGGACGGTCCCTACGTCTGTCCTGTGCACTTTGTAGGCTCTGGCTGTCCTGGGCTGTCTCCCTGCCTTGAGGTCTCTTGTTTTCCTCTCCCTCACACCTCTAGCTCTCTCGCGCTGTCTTCGCCCTGCCTACAGGTCCCCAGAGAACAAAGTCCACTGCCCGCTTGGACGGTTCATACACACTCGGGACCCAGTGTCCTGGTCGCACTTGGGGAACAATGCCCCTGTTGGGCAGGGCAGGCCACGCAGGTGCAGTAGAAGAGGGCGATGGCACACCTGCGCTGGAAGTCCCACACCCAGGCTACACCTGACGACCTGGGTCACCCTGTGATTCCAAGGAACGGGAGGAAGAGGAACAGGGAGGCTCTAACGCCGAGTGGATGAAGGACGTGGGTGAAGGACACCGATAGCCAGGGCTTTTCGGATCCCTCTGGTCTCAGCCTCCTTGTTGAAGTGGGGACGTTAATGACCAAACTGAGAATTAAAAAGTGTAGGTAAAAGTGTCTAGCATATCTTTGGGGCCCACTTCCTAGGTGCCTTTGTCACGACTTAAAAGATTCTAAATATTTCAATAAGGGTAATACAATCAAAGCTTAACGCTAGAGTAAGAAGCACCCTAGGCATGGGCATACTACAGGCAATAAAATATTTAAAATGTATCTTACGTACCAAACATAGAAACATACTGTATAAATACTCAAACCTGATATATGATGGTATGTATCAAATTTAGAAATATGTAATATATAAATGTATAAAAATAAATGTGATTTTAAAAAGGTGATTTACACAACAAACATCACATAACTTCAAAAAACAATACAACAAATATAAATCTAATAAACACCAAAGATATTCAATGAATTTGTGAGTAAATATAAAGTAAGGAGTGGACGTAAGTATAAAATATAAATAAATCTAAATAACTTACACATGTAAAAATTCTGTAGTATATAAGAAATAGAGTAAATGTAAAATATATAATTTATAAATATAAAAATATACATAAACGTATAATATCGATGTGGTATATAACCACTACAGAGTCAATAAAGGGAGCATTGCTGAGGGCCCCAAAGTGAAATGCTGGGTGGTGAGGGTATCCTTGTCACAATCCTGACTTCTGCACTCCCAGGCCTTGGTTTCTCATCTGTGTAGTAGAAATTCCTATTAGCGTTGCCCACTACAGAATGGTGACCATCAAGGCTTAAATTACTGATGAGCATAAGTAAAGCATTTGGAAAGGTGACCACTTGCAATGGTGGCTTGGAAGGTATTATTATCATTATGGTTATGAATACCTGATAATCTACCAATAAGAAGTTACCTTATTACATAAATAGTGTACATTACAATTCACATATATTGTAAATTGCTTTATTATATTAAATAATACATATTTCATTCCAATTATTATTGCTTACAATACAGCATAACGCAGACTACCCAGGTGCAGTGGCTCACACATGTAATCCTTTTGACTCCAGAGGCTGATGCAAAAGGATTGCAAGTTTGAGGCCAGCCTGGGTAACTTAGGGAGACCCTGTCTCAAAATTTAAAAAATAATAATAAAAAGGATTGGGGATGTAGCTCAGTGGTAGAGTGCCCCTGGGTGCAATCCCCAGTACCAGAAAGGGGGGGGGGAGTACATGATAAAAATACTGATTTGAGTGAGCAGGGGCTAAATCTGGGTTCTTTGCCAAAGCCTCCTGGGTGGGACCTTTGGCAAGTCCCTCAGGCATGTGTGAATTAACTTTCTTATCTGCACAGTGAGGATGCAATAACAGCACCCACTTCAAAGGGACCTTGTGATGATTAAATGACCTGAGCAGAGCTTAGCACAAAGAAGGGTTCTGGTCTGCTGTTATTATTGTACTGTTGTTATTATTAGGCTTGTGCCTCTTGGAGTCTGCACTCACTACCCTTCCTCTACCCCCTCACCACCACCACCACCCCAGACCATTGCCTTGGATTCCAAGTGTCTTCTTGTCCCAGGACTCTGACCTGGCTCCTCTTTTCCATTTCCTGCATTCCCTGTTGCCTCACTGTGCCTCCCACCAGGACATCCGAGTGCGCTCAGCTGCCTGGAAGGCTGATGGGGTGCGCTCCACCGAGGTTGGCAGTCGGCCAGAGAATATACAGAAGAACCGCTACAAAGATGTGGTGCCATGTACGTAGGAGGGCTTCTGTGAAGAGTCTGTGTGGCTCCACACACACCCTCAGGCCACTGTGGGCCCTTAATGTGCTCCCAGCGGGGCATGCGGGTTTCATCCAAGGGGCTGTCTGAGCCTAGACACACGCGTCGCCCTCAATTCCACGTTTCTCGCCTCCCCCACTGGCAGATGATCAGACGCGCGTGATCCTCTCCCTGCTCCAGGAGGAAGGGCATGGCGACTACATCAATGGCAATTTCATCCAGGTCAGGATAGTGGTCAGAAAAGGGGGCAGATTGGGGTTGGTGGAGGTTGGGAGTGGAATCTCAACGGCGAATGGGCCTTTCCCAGGGCGCAGATGGAAACCAGTCCTACATCGCCACACAAGGACCCCTGCCTCACACTCTGCTAGACTTCTGGCGCCTGGTCTGGGAGTTTGAGATCAAGGTCAGCTTGGGGGAGGAAAACAAGGTTCTGAGTTTCCACTAACCCAAATCACCTCCATCTCTGTTTACTCTTTTTGTCTAGGTGATCCTGATGGCATGTCGAGAGACAGAGAATGGGCGGGTAGGTGTCCTCAGCCCCCAGAGTGCTTGACTCTAACTCCTCCCTAATCCAGAACCCAGTGGGAGTGATGTCACTGGGACTCAGTGAGAACCCACTGCTTCTCTCTAATCTTGCCTTGATCTTTTTTTCCTTCTGTTCATGGGGCTCATTTCCCACAGTGTTGTTTACCCCTCTCCTGCTGGGCTTCCCACCCATACCACCTCACAGAGCATGACACTTTATGCTGACCATTTCCTTCGTAGAGCTGTGATCTCTATTTTTACTTCTCTTTATTCACTCGCTCAAACCACACTGGCTCTATTGCTCAGCTGTACCTCAGGCTTGTGCCTTGACCATTATATTATCTCTGCCTGGAACCTTCTGCCCCATCACCTCCTTCCAGCCTTCACTTCCTCAGTGAGACCCTCATGTACTCTCACACCATTTCAGACTCCAGCATTCCCATTGTCCGAGTTGCCATTTTCCTTCACAGTTCTTAACAACTTCTAACACACTACATAATTCTAAACATGAAATACACTCCACAATGTGCTATTATTTTAGCTTTCAATTACCTTTTTAAACCACTTTATTTAGTTACAATTCACCCACTTAAAATGTACGATTGTTTTTAGTATATTCCTGATGATTACACAACCATTCCCATAAGAAATTTTAGAACATTTTCATCAGCCCACAAGCAGTCACTGCCCATTTCCTAACAATCTCTAGAGCCCCAAGCAACTCCTAATCTACTTTTGGCCTGGTATAGATTTGCCTACTCTGATATTGCATATAAATGGAATCATATAGTGGTCTTTTGTTACTGGTATTTCATTTAGCATGTTTTTAATATTCATGCATACTGTAGCATGTGTCAATACTTCCTTTTATTGCTGAATAATATCCTATTGAGTGTATCTATCACATTTTGCTTATCCAATAAGCCATTTATTTCTACTTTTGGGCTATTAGGAATAATGCTACCATGAACCATTTACATACAAGTCTTTGTGTAAACATATATTTTCATCTCTCTTGAATATGTACCAAGTGGTAGAATTGCTAGGTCATATGGTAACTCTATTTTTAACATTTTGAGGAAGTGACAAACCATTTCCTATAATATATCAATTTACCTTCCCACCAGCAAAGTATTATGTCTCTAATTTCTTCACATCCTCACCATTTGCCCTTTTTATTATTATTATTATTATAGCCATCCTAGGAAATGGTATCCCACTGTGTCTTTTTAAAATCATGGTAAAATACATGTAAAATTTGCCCCCTAACCATTTAAAGTGTACAACTCAATTGCAGTAAGTACATGCACATTGTTGGGCAACCATCAATCACTATCCAGTACCAGAACCTGTTCTTCATCCCAAACATAAATTCTGTATCCAAACATAAATTCTATATCTATTAAACAACTTCCCACTCTCCTTCTCCCAGATCCTGGCCTCCTCTAACTTTTATTTATTTATTGGTGGTACTTGAGATTGAACCCAGGGCCTTGTGCATATAAGGCAAACACTACCAATTGAGCTACATGCCCAGCCTATTCTTCTATTTTTTCTGTCCCTCTTAATTTGCCTATTCTAGGTGCATAATGTAAGTGGAATCACAATACTCATCCTTTTGTTTGTTTGTTTCTTCCTCCCTCCCCTACCACCCAGGCACCATCTCTTTTTCTTAATTGTACTGTATAGAATTTCCAGTACAAAGCTGAATACAAGTAGCAAGTGCTACTTTTCTTCTTCCTATGCTTTAGTCTCCCACCATTAAATATGATGTTATCTGGATTTTTTTTTTTTTTTTGTAGTTATTTATCACATTGAGGAATTTCCTTTCTGTTCCTAGTTTCTTTCATGTTCTTATCATGAAGGGGTGCTGAATTTTGTCAGATTCTCCCCCCACAACATCTATTCAGATGATCATGTGTGGGTTTTATAGTTTATTAATTTGCTATATGACATTTTCTTTTTACATCTAGTCTTTTACCTACCTTTTTTCTTTGCTCTTTATTATTTTAGATATCATTTTGGCAACATGTTCCTTTTGGATGAAGAACTTACTTTAATTTTTCTCTCATAGTGCAGTTCTACTTACGATAAACTTTCTCAGCTTCTATTAGCCTGAAAAGGTGTTTGGGTTTTATTGGGTTTTTTGTTGTTTGTTTTTGTTTTTTGATTGTTTTGTTTGTACCTTGCACATGCTAGGCAAGCACTCTACCACTGAGCTACACTCCAGCCCTTGGTTTTCCCCCTGCTTATTTTTTTTATCCCCCCAGCATTTTAGGATGTTAGACCATTGACTTCTGGCTTTCAGTTTTTGAAAACATTTTGCTGTCATTCTTATCTTTGTTCATCAGTGCACTTTTATGTGATGCTTTTAACATTTTCTCTTTATAACTGTTTTTCAGCAATTCAGTCATAATCTGCCTTGGTACAGCTTTATGTATTGTCCTTGTAGTTTACTGACTTTCTTGGATCTGTAGGTTCATTATTTCATCATATTTTGGAAAAATTTTAGGTATTATTTCTTCAAATATAGTTCCTGTTCTCCCCTCTCTCCTTCCCTTTTGGATTCTAGGCATACATATATTAGGCCTTTTGGTGTATTTCCACAGGGAACTCATTCTCTATTTACTTTTCTCCAATCTTCTCTTTTTCATTTCAAATAGTTACTATTGCTATACTTCCATGTTCACTGAACTTTTCCTTCTGTTGTCTAATCTGCTATTAGTGAATTCTGCATTTTTTATATTTTATTTTTCCTCTGTAGAAGTTCCATTTAGGTTTTTTTTTTTTTTTTTTTTTTTTTTTGTATTTTTCATTTCATTCTTCATCATGTTTGCTTTCCATTTCATCTTTTGAGTATATTTATAACATTTATAATAGCTATTTTAAGGTCTTTGCTTCTTTCCTCATCTGTTATTTCTGGGCCTCTTTCTGTTAGACTGATTTTTTTCTCCTGGTTATGGTGTTCATTTTCCTGCTTCTTTGTATGTCAAGTAAATTTTTATCAGATGCTTGATATTGAGTTTTACACAAGTAAGTGTTGGATTCTGTTTTCTTCCTTTAAAGAAGATTTTGCTTTTTCAGAAGAGCAGTTAAGTTTCTTTTAGAACTTAACTTTCTTTCATTCAAGGGTTTTCAGTTTTGGTGGAGATTAAACCTAGAACTTCACACATGCTAAGCATGCCCTTTACCACTGAGCTATACCTCCAGCCCCTGGTGTTTGTTTTTAAGCTTTTAGGGCAGGTCTAGGGTAACCTTTATTCTAGAACTAATTTGGCTCTGCTTTGAATGTGTGATTACTTCTGGGAATCCTACTGAATGAAGGTCTTTCTATTCTGGCTGAAGAGAATGTAAATTACTTCTGTCCCATTGTGAACTCTAGGAAATATTCATCCTACAGATGCTTATTCTTTCATGAGAAGTTTTTCTTGCTTGGTTATACATTCTCAGATCATTATGCAGCCAAAGACTGAAGGTGGGGGGGGACTATACATATTTCTGGAGCAGGTTTTTGTTTTTTTCTGCTTTTGTTTGCATGGTTCTTTCCAGAACTTTGTTCTGAAAATTCTACCTTGATCTACCTCAGCCATGATCTCTGACTTTTCAATTCAGTGGAATCACTGGGCTCTTCATGTCCTTCTGACTAGTAATGCCTCCAGGTAGTCTGTTTAGCGACCACAGTCCTGCAACACATAGCAACCAATTATGGACAACAATGGCTCATGCATTTCATCTAGCTTTTTAGCCTCTTGTAGTTGGAGGGTATGCCTTCCTCCTGCAGGGCCAACAACTCACCTCCATGGGGCCTGCACATGTTTAATGAGATGGCTCTGTGGCTAGCCTCCATTTCAGCTGCAGCTGCCTGCACTTCTACCAGCAACACCTGAGGTGTTCAGTGGCAGCTGGAACTCTGAAGCTGACTCCCCCTCCTCACTTCCTGTCCTTTCTCCCTTACTTTTGCAGAAAAAGTGTGAGCGTTACTGGGCCCAGGAGCACAAGCCATTGCAGATTGGGTTTTTCTGTATCACCCTGGTGAGCTGGGGCAGCAGTGGGAACAGGGTTCTATGGGCCTTGGGTGTTATGGGAGGTTTCAAGAAAGAAACACAGGTGGTAAATATTTGGGCTGGGCGCAGAAGGATGAATCATTTTACCCCAGTCACCTTACACTCTGCGATACTCAAGAGAATGCTCTGGTGTCAGCACATAAATGATCAAAACTCAATATATGTGTTGCCCAAGCATTTTTTTTTTTTTTCTCTCTCTCTCTCTTCCCAGTGCTGGGAATGGAATCCTGGTCCTAGAGCATGCTAAGCAAGCACTCTAAAACTGAGTTGCAACTCCAAACCCTAGCATTATTTTGGCTCAGATCATTTGTCTCTGTAATGTAAATGTGCCTAGTCATGTTCCTCAAATCTATTTTTTTAACCTTTTTTTTTTTTATGGTGCTGGGATTTGAACCAGGGCAATGTGCATGTGAGGCAAGCATTCTACTAACTGAGCTATATTCCCAGCCCCTTTTTTTACCATTTCAAAAGAACTCAGGACAATCTCTCAAGTCACATATGTTTAATAAATACATAGTGCTTAATAAATAAATATAATGAAACTGTTTTGCTTTAGAACCAAAATATCTCTTGTTATCTATAAAGCAAGGCTTGTTTGGGTTTGTGTAATCCTCATTCTCCCCTCTCTCAAATGTTTCCTTCATGACAGCTTTGGAGGATGTTTGGATTAAATTATTTTTTTAAATGTTTTAAATTCAATATCTCATCAAAAATGTTTTGTATAAATGTGTTTGGGGGCACATTTGTTCTCCCTCTTCTTTTTTCTTCCTCTTCCCACTTACTCCACATACTCAGACAAAGGAGACACAGTTGAAAGCAGATATCATTCTTAGGACCCTTCAAGTCACATTCCAGAAGGTATGAAAGGGGAAGAAGTGGTGAAGGGGCTCTTGCATGGGGAGGACTGTTTCCTGCTCTGTAAAATGGGCACTCACAATAGTATACTCCTCAGTTATTATCGTATGATTTGTTTTTTTAAATCTTTGTGGTACTGAGGATGGAACCAGGGTCTTGCCTATGCTACATCCCCACGAGCTACATCCCCAGCCCTATCTGGTGGATATAAATGGAAGATGCTTCTAGTAGGCCTGGCAAGTAGTAGATGCCCAATAAATGCTTTTTCTATTTTCTATTCCTATCTCAGGAATCCCGTTCTGTACACCAGCTGCAATATATGTCCTGGCCAGACCGTGGGGTCCCCAGCAATCCTGACCACATACTTATCATGGTGGAGGAAGCCCATCGCCTCCAAGGATGTGGCCCGGGGCCTCTCTGTGTCCACTGCAGGTTTAGTAAATGGGTTCTATGAGGTTCTATGAGGATCTGGTGATGGAGGGAGGTGAGGCAGGGAGAGCAGGGTGTGGAAGTTTGGCTTTCCATCTGTTTAGAAAAACCTGGGGCCATACTTGCTCATGCTGCATGGACTGAAACTGTTAGTATTTGTTGAGGATAGACTGCCTGCTAACTTATGGTCAGCAAATATATGTGATTAAAAAGTTTTTCCTCTGAAATCATAATCTGGGGATTCTGTAAATCAAGAGGTCCTGCAGGGGTCTCCCTTCATCCCAACCCCAAATGCTCCTTTTAAAAGATACCTGGGTTGGTCCTGATGAGCTTGCTCGGATTCTCCTTCTGTTAGTGCCGGCTGCGGGCGGACAGGAGTCCTGTGCATTGTTGATTACGTCAGACAGTTGCTCCTGACCCAGGTATGGTAGGCCATCTGTGTGTGTGCATTGTGCTCCACATCCACAAGGCCCAGCTCATACCACACTCCTCTCTCTGCCCTAGATGATTCCACCTAACTTCAACCTCTTCAACCTGGTCCTCGAGATAAGGAAGCAGCGACCAGCAGCGGTCCAGACAGAGGTGTGAGCTGCGGTCTCTTTACACCCAAGGACATAGGCTGGGTTTCCATTCCCCTCCCCTTGTGTTCCCTTGTTGATGGCCCTCACCTCAACAGGAGCAGTACAGGTTCCTGTACCACACAGTGGCTCAGATGTTCTACTCAGCACTCCAGGCCACCAGCCCCCACTACCAGAACCTCAAGGAGGTACAGAACCTATTCCCAATCTCTTCCTGCTCATGCTCAACACCCTCAAACCCCTGACTCCTTCTAAGAACAGGCACTGTCTATGATGGCTGTATGTGCCTCTGCCAGGCTCCCTTAGGAGGTTGTCCCCTCTTAAGCTTACCTCCAGAATCCATAGTGATCCTCCTCCATTAGGATGCTGGCCATTTTCTTCCAAAGCTTCATGACTCCCCTCTCCTGTTTCCGCCCCAGAATTGTGTCCCACTCTATGATGATGCCCTCTCCCTCTGGACTTCTCCAGCCCTTCTTGCCTTACCCCGCCCACCAAGCGGAGTGCTCAGGTACTGGTGCCATCCCTTTATTCTTCCCTTTCAATTTCTCAGGCTCTAAGGCCAGCCCTTTACTCTCTTGAAAAACCAGCCCCTTTTTGCTGTTCAGTTCACCAAGTATTTGCTGGCCCTTTCTTTGAACTGAACTCTGGGAACCCTCCCTGAGAAGACCACTTTATCCAAGCAGTACTGTTGTCTCTGCGTCCAAGTCAGTAATTAATTTGACAAATATTTCCGGATGCCATTCACTTGGAGTCTCCTGTTGGGTGCTGTGCGCACAGTTAAACCTCCGCAGCTAACTTCACCCTACACCCTCGAAACTCGCCCTCGGCTTTCCCTTCGGCTTTACTTAAATGCCACTACCTCGTATTTTGACTCAATAAACATTTACACGGAAATGATCACCCTTCAATACCAATCCGACCCACTTACCCCACTTACCGGCGGGGCGCTAGGGACCGACGACTCACACAAACAAAACGAAAGACTCCTCCCTCAGCCTCGGAGCCAACCCGCCCCTTCCCTCCTCTCCCGCGGGAAGGAAGCCGCGGTTTGGGCTGAGCATGCACACCCCTCCGCCCTCCCTCCGAGCTGCCGTTTCACTTCCTCTGCACCCTCCGGCTCTGCAGGAGCATCTCGGTGCCCGGGGCCCCTACTGTCCCCATGGCCGACACCTATGCTGTAGTGCACAAGCGCCGGCCCCCCGCGGGCGCCGGGCCAGTGGCGCAAGAGCACAGCACCGAGGAGAAGCCACTCTACAGCCAGGTGAAGTCACGCACCCAGCGTCCCGGGGCACAAACAGAGGACAAGCGGGTTTCGCTGCCTGGCCGCGGTGAGTCAAGACTATAGTGGGTTTGGGGAGAGTCCAAACCTACCTGCCCTTTTCGGGACCCCATCCTTCTGGGCTCCGCAGTACTGGGTGGGCCTGGAGGACCCCATCCCCTGGCCAAGTAACCCGGTGTGGCCACGCCCCCGAAGCTGGCGTCAAGGTTTCCCTGGCCACGCCCCTTCTATTTCTTGGTGACATCCCGGAAGCTTCCGCAGGCCAGCAGCTGTAGGGTCCCAGTCCAGCCTCAGGCTGTGTAATCTTGTTTGGCTAAGTAGTCCCCCAAAGGCGGATGTCACCACCACCCCCCAACCTGGCCACACCTTTGGCACACACCCTTTCCAGGTAGGCACCCCCACACACACCAGATTGCCTCCTGGGACCTAGAAGTCTGTGTCCCCATGCCAGGTGGAGGACTATGAGATTCCTTGAGCTGACCTGTGGGGGGATTTCCTGCCCACAGTTCCTGCTAATCAAAGCCCTGCTGGGCCTGATGCCTATGAGGACGTGACAGAGGGAGCTCAGACTGGTGGGCTAGGTAAGTTTGGTAGAACCTGGTTTGCTGGGACTCTGCAGCTTTGGATGAACCTCAGAAGTTTGGGGTTTAGAAATGGGGTGTGGGGCTCAGGCTATCGGTGTCCGGTGGATGTGGCTGCAGAAAACCGGAACACCTCCAACTTGCGGAGGACCTTCCACAAGTTGCCTGCTTCTTCAGGCCGTAGAGTGTCTGTGAAACCTTATGGCACCCTTCCCGTCTCAGGCTTCAATCTGCGCATTGGAAGGCCAAAAGGACCCCGAGACCCCCCTGCTGAGTGGACCCGGGTGTGAGCTCTGCATCCATACCAACCTGTTTCTACATGTGTGCTTGAACTGCTGCTGGCCACCACTCTGCTGTGGGATATGTTGGGGATGGGATGCTGGGTCTGGATCCAAATAAAAATTTATTGGGGTGGGAATATGAGGATTTTTGCTCCAGTGATCAGCAGTCAAGACTTGAGGCTGGGTGACAGAGGTAGGAATTAATGCCTAGTGAGGCTGCCCTGAGAAGATCCTAAAAAGAACACCTGGAATGGGCACCACCACCACCCATTTCCCCCAGTTATGAAGACGAGAATGGACAGATGGACTGCCAGAGACTTCCCCTCTCACTGCATAATAGGTGGCCCATCCTCAGTATCTGAGCCTTCTTCACTCAAAGAGATGGATCCACCTTGAGAAATGTGAATGGATCCCTAGCCATTCAGACATGTCCAAGCCAAGCCTAGCCACAGCCAAGAAGACTGACCCCAGACAGATAAGAAGATCCCCAGACAAATGGATCACCAATCAGACCCCAAAACAGCCAGACCTTCAGTGGGATAAGTCCACTGTTGGACAAATGGACCCTACTGAGAGAGACCAACCAACAGCCTGAGAGATGAGTCTCAAGAGACCACTGAGCAGACAGAGCCCCTAAAAGACAGACCCCTCCACCAGCTAGACAGCCAATGGTTCCCAGCCTGGTCAGATACACAGACATCTCAGCTAGACAGACCCTAACTCAACCCCTAGGTGGACAAACTGACTGACCAACCTCCTAGCTGGACAGATTTCCAGTCAGATAAACACCAGCCACACAGACAGATCCTCGAATGCACAAATATCGCAGTCAGCTTGCCAGACTTGCAGCTCTCCAGACAGATGGATCCCCAGCAGGCAGGCGGTCCCCACCAACACAGAACCCCCGTTTCAATAGACACATTGATGTAGCTCCTGCTGGGCAGGCAACTGGGTGGACCTTTGTTATGTTTGGACATGATATGTTCCTCAAAAGCTCCTGTTAATGCAGGAATATTCAGAGGTAAATTGATTAGATTGTAAGAACTGTGATCTAATCAGTCCATCTTAGATTGAATAGACTGACTAGATTGCAATTGTAGACAGATGGGGCTGTGGCTGGAGGAGGTGGGTCATTGGTGGTGTGCCCTGGAAGGGTTGTTCTGCCAGTGGCCCTTCCTCTCTCTGCTTCTTTCTGCTTCCTGACCCTGCCATGAGCTGAGTAGCTTTCCCCTGTTGCTCCCTTTCCCCATGATGTGTTGCCTCACATTGGACCCAGAGCAATGGAGTCTGCCATCTGTGAACTGAGACATCTGAAAACATGAGCCCTAAATAAACTTTTTCTACTCTAAGTTTCCTTGGTGAGTATTTTGGTCACATAACACAAAAGCTGACTCACAACCATTAGGCAGTCAATTGGCCAAACAGATGGACCCTCAGAGATATATCTCAACTTGGGTAGATCCTCCACCATCCACCATCTCCACCATCCAGACCAACTGCCAGCTGAGTAGACACTGCAAACCAACAGATGCTTATGGCAGACAGTCTCTCTGATATCAGATAGATGAATTCCCAGCCCATGAGATAAGTGGATTTCCCATTTGATGAATGAACCCTTAAGTTAGGTGACAAACTACCCTTAGCCAGAGATAGATGGACCCCCAGCTAGATAGACCCCAGCTAGATGGACACCAACTGATCAGACAGTTGATCCCCCAGGTGGACAGGTAAAACTCCCAAATGAGTAGATACACATCTTCAGATATTCAGATAGATGGACCCCTCCATGAAATCAGACCTTATCTAGACAGATCTCAGCCAGTCAGATGTCCCACCAGACTGACCCCTAGCTCTTGATCCAGATCACTAGACATATGTAGACTGCTGCTTGGCAGACACATTTGTAGTCAGCTAAACAGACCTCTAGCCTGTCAAGCCAGAAGGACCTGCCACTAGCCAGACATACTGATGAGCCTCCAAGATAGACCTCACTGGAAAATGGAACCCAGTCACACTGACTCTTAGCTTGACAAGAATCAAGCTGACCCTTAAACAGATCTCTGGCTGGACAGACCTGCAGACCTCCAGTTACAAACACAACAGCCAACCCGACCCCCAGGTAGACTTCCACTGATCCAGAAAGATCTCCGGCTGGACAGGTAGACACCTGAACCACTAGTCAGAACGTCAAACAGTGCCCCATCCAGAAAGACAGAACTTCAAATCAGACAGATCTCTAGGTGGACAAAAAGATAAGACTAAATTTATGCATAGTTCTTCCAAAACCCTGATTCTGTTCTGTGCTCCTCCCTCCCAATGTGATCTTCCTAGACAAGTCAGTGTCTGTCTGATACCAGGCTTATCCAGGCTCCTAACCATCACTGCTGGTACATTGTTCTCACGAGGCTGTTGGAAAGCTGACTTGCGTCCATGTTGTGCAGACTGAGGCCTCTATGATGGGCAGGTACACACCCCTCACATAGTTATTATGAGAAGTCAGTGAAACAACAAATCAGGATCTCAGTTCATGATCCTCATGCTGTGCTTCATGAATGTCAGACCATAATTGGCTCTGGGTTCCCAGGTTCACCTTGGTCCCGACACAAGCCATTTGCCTTTTGGGTGTTGCTAAAAGGAGGATGAAGTTTGCTTTCCTTGGCTACAAAGCTTGCTGCAATGACTTAAGTGCTTTAAGATCTCTGCCCAAGAAATAGCACAACCAACAGAAACCAGGGAGGGCAGAGAAACTTTGGGGTTTTTCAGTGTCACAGGAAACTGGTGTCACCATGAGTCCAAACTCTTAGATGGAAGTTGGGGCTGATTATGTTGGAGAGAGGCAGGAAGGAGGTCCCAGGTTCCTGGTAGCAGAGGAGGGCCAAGCATAGACCAACCTCAAAGTCAGAAATATTACTTAAATGGATCTGGAGGGGAAAAGCAGTTGTGTCCTGAAAGGCAGGTGCTCTGACAGATTGAGGAGACATGTTCTCTCCAGAAAGGAAACAGAGGTCAATTAGAGCTGCCTCTTGGAGTCTATCCTGGAGGCCAGAAACCAGAACTATGGGGTTGAAGTTGACAGGACTGTGCTAATTTTTTTTAGGGATTAGGTTTGAGCTGAATAAAATGTATGTAATTCTCAGCTGCTCATTCTGGATAGAAAGAAGAGAGGTTCTAGCCAGGTGTGGTGGTGCACAGCTGTAATCCACTGCAACTTAGAAACTGAGGCAGGAGGATCACAAGTTTGAAGCTAGCCTGGGCAACTTAGTGAGACCCTGTCTAAAAATAAAATATAGCTTGGCTGTAAAGTACCCCTGGGTTCAATCCTCAGGCAAGGGAGGGGGAAGACAAAGAAGAACAGTTCTGCTGAAATTGAAGAGAAAGAACTGTGTCCCTGTGACCCACTAAGTAGGAAGACACCTAGCAACACAAAATTATCAGTAGGTTTTTTTGTATGTATGCAGTGCCAGGGATTGAACTTGGGAACTCATGTATGGTAGGCAAAGTGCTCTTCCAGTAAGCCATACCCAGGCCCAGCAGCTAGTAGGTATGCAGAGGCAGAGGATACAGGAAAGTACCAGGCTGACTCTGTCCATGTTTTATTCCATTTAGTCCTCAAAACTCTGTGTGTGTGTATGTGTGTGTGTGTTTTACTGTGGATCAAATCCAAGGCCATATACATCATGCTAGGCAAGCATTCTAGTACTGAATTCTGCCCTGAAAATTAAAGCAACATTTTAGCTCCATATTACAGGTAAAATATTCTTTTAGGTCCATATTACAGGTGAAAATGAGATTCAGAGAATATGACTGTTAATTTGAAGTTCATATCTAATCTAGCAACACAGAGACCATTGATTCCATGAAAACCATGATAGTCCTAGGCAGGGTGGCACACGCCTGTAGTCCCAGAGCCTGTGGAGACTGAGGCAGGAGGATCACAAGTTCAAAGCCAGCCTCAACAACTTGGCAGAGCCCTAAGCAACTTAGCGAGTACTGTCTCTAAGTAAAATGTAAAGAGGGCTGGGGATGTGGCTCAGTGGTTAAGTGCCCCTGGGTTCAATTCCCAGTATCCCCCCAAAAAATAATAATAATGGTCTCGGTGTTTGGTATAGAAATATATGGCTGTGGGCAAATAAGACCCTAATCTTCAAATGAATACTAATAGCTAGCACTAACTGGGTGCTTTGTATGTACATAGATGGACTCATTTGTCTTCAGAGTAATCCATAATAGAAGTAACTTTGTTACCCCTCACTTCACAGAGCCCAGTAATAACTGCAGGGAACAGGATATCACTTAATGTTTCTATAAACTCTTTTTAAAATATTTTTTTAGTTGTAGATGGACACAATACCTTTATTTTATTCATTTATTTTTATGTGGTGCTGAGGATTGAACCCAGTGCCTCATAGTTGCTAAACAATCACTACCACTGAGCTACAACCCCATCCCCACCATAAACTCTTAAAGGCCCTATATCACAGTAGTCAGTAGCTTGAACTCAATCCCTTTCTAGTTGTGTGAACTTGAACAAATGTCATAATTTCTCTCTGGCTCAATTTCCTAATCTGTGAAATGGGGATAATAAAGTGACCTTTATCATAGGGTTGCCACATATGTAATTTTTCAGAGCAAGTATGGATCTGCTATATTATCTGCTAAATAATAAATGAAGACAGATGTTTGGATTTTTCAAGAATTATCACCAGAATAAATTATTTTTATTTTGTTTGTACCAGAGATTGAACCTAGGGTTGCTTAACCACTCAGACACATCCCCAACACTTTTTAAGTTTTTTTTTTTTTTGAGACAGGGTCTCACTAAATTGCTTAGGACCTTACTAAAATGCTTAAGATGACCTTGAACCTGTGATCCTCCTGCCTGAGCCTCCCTAATCACTGGGATTATAGGCATGCACTACCATGCCTGACTTTTACATAGTTGGAATAATATTGAAATCTCCACTTTAAACATAAATAAATGAAAGTTAAGTTGATTATGCATTTTCCTGCTTAAAAATCCAGCAGATCTAATATTTGATAATCGTTTCATTCTAAATTTAGTGGGCAAAAATAAATAAATTTATTCAACATAGCTTCTACAATTGTTATGTAGCAATTTTGGAAAAAATTTGAGCCTTACAT